GTAAAACATTCTTCACAACAATCTATAGCCTCGTTCGGAAAAACAAAAATATTCCTTAGACCAACCCACAGCCTCGTTCGAAAAAAAAAAGAATTTCAGATCAACCAACAACCTCGTTCGGAAGTACAAACCATACTTCATATCAACCAACACCTCGTTTGGAAGTACAAACCATACTTCATATCAACCAACACCTCGTTTGGAAGTACAAACCATACTTCAGAACAACAAACACCCACACTAGTGTAAGGTGAGTTCTACAGCCTGCTCTGTAGTCAGATCTGACATAAATCAATCACTCTACAGAAAGGATCAGCTAATTCTAACAACCATATCACCTTTTCTCTGTGTTTTATTCAATAAGATCGTAAATTATAACACCATCGGTCGATAACATAAGGTCATAAATTATAACATCATCAAAGATTCACCTCACTTTGTTGGGTCTTCTGGCCTTTGTTTCACACCCTTAACAAAGATAATGGGCGAATTTATAGAAAGGGACATAACTCTATAGGTTTTTTTTAGCTGAGTTATGTTTTCTTTGATTTTGTGCTGTTGTTTTTTTCTTTTGCGTCCTATGATGGTTGCTTTGTAGTATTGTTAACAATGTATACAACTATGTAAACATAAGCAGGTCAAAGTTCAAATAGAAATGAACCTGTAGAAATTTTTTTTTTTAATAAAAAAGATAACCTTTAGTCGATATGGCGATGCTCATGAGTGTGCGAACGATGTAAGGGGTGGCCCGCCCCAGGCTGTAGTCCCCCCCCCCCCCCCCCCCCGTGTATAGATATGTAAAAATTGCTTGAAATAAACCGCCCAATGTTAATCCGTATAACAATATCAAGCAATTGGGGAAATTATTGAAGCCGGTAGGACGAAGTAGGAGCCGGTAGGACAACATTGGAACCGGTAGGAAAAAATAGAAATAGGTAAGACAAAATAGAAGGCTAGTACAAAATATAAACAGGTAGGACAAAATAAGAAGGCGGTAGGACAAAATTGGAGCCGGTAGGACAAAATAGAAGGCTAGTACAAAATATAAACAGGTAGGACAAAATAAGAAGGCGGTAGGACAAAATAGAAGGAGGTAGGACAAAATATAAACAGGTAGGACAAAATAAGAAGGCGGTAGGACAAAATAGAAGGAGGTAGGACAAAATAGAAGGCTAGGACAAAATATAAACAGGTAGGACAAAATAGAAGGCGGTAGGACAAAATAGAAGGCTTGGGAAAAAAAATAGAAGCCGGTGGGAAAAAAATAAAAGTCTTAACAAAACAGAAACAGGCAGAGCGAAATGGATACAATCCCACGAAAGACAAAATCCAGAAATCGGGCAAACATTAAGCCGACATAAGCGCATCACATTTTTTTTTAAAAACATGCCCTAATTAAGCACAAAGACCATGAAAACTAATCAGTCATTAAAACAAGCCAGCGCTTATTATCAACTTAACCAATTAAAATTCTACCTTCCTGCTAATGCATGCTTTGAGTTTGACCTCTGACACGCATAGCTTTATTAATTATCTAATTTAGTTTATTAATTATCCGACAGAACACGACGCCAGAGCACCAAGAACAAAAAAAAAAGATCGATCTCCCATATACTGTTTTAGATAACAGGTAAATGTCCAAGTGGCAACAGGATTATCTACCTTAGTCAAAGACTAAGAGAAGATTAGATCAAAGCTGAAGACTTCTTAATTTTCTAAAGACTGAATCAAGATTAGGGATGAGGATTATCCATAGGGACTCTAAGACTACACAAGATTAGGTCACAGCTTAAAACACCTTACCTGGCAAACGACTAAATCAAGATTAGGTATTAGGATTATCCATATGGCCACTAAGACATAAGATTAAGTCAGAGCTTAAGACAACTTATCCGCCTATAGACTAAGACAAGATTAAATCAAAGTCACAGCTTAAGACAATTGACTTGCCCAAAGATTGTCATAAGGTTAGTTGAGACCAATATATTTAATTTAAAAAAAACATTGTTAACTAGATCTAGATTCTATATTTAAATGTATAATTCCACCGATAATTCTAGAATCGATCTTCAACTTTTTTTTTTAAATTATATAAAAAAAATTTAATACAAAAAAAAATATTTTAAAAAGAAATCCACACTTACCTTAAAAATCACGAAGAAAAAAAAATTACAAAACAGCCGAGCAGAATATCACTTCAGTAATCCTTTTAAAAAATTGGCTACAACAAGTATCCCATGAAGGAAACAATCCACGAACAAATGTGTCCCGTAAGCACAAAGTCTGTCATAGTCCTTCCCAGTGCTCTGCCCCTTATCGCGACTCCGCCGTTTAAAAATGCGGGATTTGCGCCCAGACGCGCTACGTGAAAAAAAAAAAGACAGATTTTTCAAAACAGAAAAAAAAAAGACTAATCAGCGAAAGTGAGGCAGACGTCTGGTCGTGACGTAAAATGGGCCCTTTTTTTTCACCCTTTGCGATTTTGTGAACGTTTAAAAAAATGTTGAAAAAAACTAAATTTGGAATGTATGTTGTTTGAACGTGTTTTTGACTAAATCCGTTTCAAGATGCCGTATTGTCAAACGCGTTTAAGACATGGGATTTTATAGGTTCGTTCTATTTTTAAAAACTTTCTTTCGAGTTGTTTAATCAAGCCCCCTTCCCCTTTCCCCCCCCCCCCCCCCCTCTTTCTTTTTCCCCCACTTGTTTGCTGGTGTTTTCATAGTTCTCCCCCCTTTACACAGTTCTCTCCCTTGCGTGGTGTCGCGTCATACAATAGGGCACACTTCGCCACGGGGAGATAACGCTGGCAGGGTCGCGAGCCACCGTGCGAAACCGCGACCTGCTCGCCGTGTTTTAGAGTAGTTCCCCTTGTTTTACGAGACCGCTGGGAGGATCAAGGGCCGGATTAGGGCTTTAAACTCCACTGGTACTGTCCGACATCTGAGTATAAAATCTGACAGGTACCTCATACAGGTGTCATCGATACCTTGGATTTTATTTTAACCACATTAAAGGCTACCCACGGGTTGAAGTCTATAAATCAATTGTTAAATTTCAGAGTTGACAATCTTAGCAACTCGACTAATGAATAAGATGTGACGGCTGGTATTTGCAAGAAAACTATTGAACAAAGTTGGTGCTAATTATACTAGGTAGCAAAATAATAAATTAAACGAAATACAACAAAAAGTATATCACACTCAAATTATTCTAGACTGTCTGTCTGTCTGTCTGTCTGTCTGTCTGTCTGTCTGTCTGTCTGTCTGTCTGTCTGTCTGTCTGTCTGTCTGTCTGTCTGTCTGTCTGTCTGTCTGTCTGTCTGTCTGTCTGTCTGTCTGTCTGTCTGTCTGTCTGTCTGTCTGTCTGTCTGTCTGTCTGTCTGTCTGTCTGTCTGTCTGTCTGTCTGTCTGTCTGTCTGTCTGTCTGTCTGTCTGTCTGTCTGTCTGTCTGTCTGTCTGTCTGTCTGTCTGTCTGTCTGTCTGTCTGTCTGTCTGTCTGTCTGTCTGTCTGTCTGTCTGTCTGTCTGTCTGTCTGTCTGTCTGTCTGTCTGTCTGTCTGTCTGTCTGTCTGTCTGTCTGTCTGTCTGTCTGTCTGTCTGTCTGTCTGTCTGTCTGTCTGTCTGTCTGTCTGTCTGTCTGTCTGTCTGTCTGTCTGTCTGTCTGTCTGTCTGTCTGTCTGTCTGTCTGTCTGTCTGTCTGTCTGTCTGTCTGTCTGTCTGTCTGTCTGTCTGTCTGTCTGTCTGTCTGTCTGTCTGTCTGTCTGTCTGTCTGTCTGTCTGTCTGTCTGTCTGTGTTATAAATATATTTATATGTTGTGCAGATAACCTAGTGTGCCTTAATTTACCAAACATCACTTTGCATTTGGAGCGCCTGAAGTGAAGGTGGACTGGTCGCCAACATAGCACGTGTTTTTGTGTATGTCTGCACGTTTGTAGCACTCACTTCCCTGCCTGAAGGCCCAGTACCACACACAGACCAGCAGAGTTTGGCTTGACTCACGGTTAAATAAACAGTTATTTATAGAGGGAATACATTTGTCAATATTTTAATAGCTGAGTCATTGACCCGCACGATCTTATATTAAAGTAGACTTTATATTCTTATACAAATATAAATATATACGCGTGCGTAATATATGTATAAGGTATAAGTGTTTTTGTGTATGATATATATATATATATATATATATATATATATATATATATATATATATATATATATATATATATATATATATATATATATATGTATGTATGTATATATATATATATGTGTGTGTGTATGTGTGTGTCCACAGCAAAATCCTTTTTCCACAACCTGTAATAACAATGTAATATGTGTATGTTTTATGCTTATAAGTATTGGACGGATTGATCGAGTAATATAGCGATTCGGATCTCGATTTGGATCTGTGACTGTAGAACGTCCCTGAGTCAACCCAGCTCTGATGGGTACCTCATTCATGTTAGCGAAAGTAAAGGCGGCTGGGCAAAGTGCTGACCACGCCATCCTAGTTGAAAACATGTGAACTCTTCTCGATCTGCCTTTTAGATAGTTAGATCTAAAAGTGGAAATATATTTTTTTTACTTGATGCTCATAAGAGATATGTTTTAGATATTTAGCTTGTCATAATCTATCATCTTTTTTTAAAGGCCTCATATATTCGCCACCGGTCAAATTATCCCAGCATGCCTCAGCCTCCACACAACTTACCTGCAAACGGTTCCAGAGCTGTCGAGGTGGTGAAAACGTGTCTAAATGTTGGCCGTTCTGGCTTCAGGTGTAACACTGCTGGTGGAACAAGTGGCTGGATGTTGAAGCGGGTCCTGTGGATCCGTGGGTCCTGTGGGTCCTTTGAGTTATGTGGGTCATGTGGGTCCTGTGGGTCCTGTGGGTCTTATTGGTCCTGTGGGTCCCATGGGTCCTGAGGGTCCTGTGGGTCCTATGGGTCCTGAGGGTCCTGAGGGTCCAAGGGTCCTGTGGGTTATGTGGGTCTTATGGGTCCTGTGGGTCCTAGGGGTCTTATGGGTCCTGTGGGTCCTGTGGGTCGTATGTGTCCTGTGGGTCCTATGGGTCCTATGGGTCGTATGTGTCCTGTGGGTCCTATGCTTCTTATGGGTCCTGTGGGTCCTATGGGTCTTATGTGTCCTGTGGGTCATGTGGGTCCTATGGGTCCTGTGGGTACTGTGGGTCCTATGGGTCCTGTGGGTACTGTGGGTCTTATGTATCCTCTGGGTCCTGTTGGTCCTATGGGTCCTGTGGGTACTGTGGGTCTTATGTGTCCTGTGGGTCCTGTGGGTCCTATGGGTCCTGTGGGTACTGTGGGTCTTATGGGTCCTGTGGGTCCTATGGGTCTTATGTGTCCTGTGGGTCATGTGGGTCCTATGGGTCATGTGGGTACTGTGGGTCCTATGGGTCCTGTGGGTACTGTGGGTCTTATGTATCCTCTGGGTCCTGTGGGTCCTATGGGTCCTGTGGGTACTGTGGGTCTTATGTGTCCTGTGGGTCCTGTGGGTCCTATTGGTCCTGTGGGTACTGTGGGTCTTATGGGTCCTGTGGGTCTTATGGGTCCTGTGGGTCCTATGGGTCTTATGTGTCCTGTGGGTCATGTGGGTCCTAAGGGTCCTGTGGGTACTGTTGGTCCTATGGGTCCTGTGGGTACTGTGGGTCTTATGTATCCTCTGGGTCCTGTGGGTCCTATGGGTCCTGTGGGTACTGTGGGTCTTATGTATCCTCTGGGTCCTGTGGGTACTGTGGGTCTTATGTATCCTATGGGTCCTGTGGGTAATGTGGGTTCTGTGGGTACTGTGGGCACAGTGGATTTTATGGGTCCTGTGGGTCCTGTGGGTCCTGTGCGTCCTGTGGGTACTGTGGGTCCTGTGGGCACTGTGGGCACAATGGATTTTATGGGTCCTGTGAGTCCTGTGGGTCCTGTGGGTCCTGTGGGTCCTGTGGGTCCTGTGGGTACTGTGGGTCCGGATATTTGGAGAACCGTTGCGTGGATAGAACGGATGAAGTCACTTGGTCGAGAGATCTACAACCTAACTGGTACTTTCTGTTGCTTGAATGGTTTTGGGCTGAATTTAAATTAAATCCTTATGCCATTTTGTCGTAGTCAAGCAAAAACCAAATGCCTTTTGACTCTTGTCAAGTAAAACATATAAGTCCTTAAGTATTGGACACACAAACATTCTTTTGAAAGTTTTATTATAATTTTATGAATTTTTAAAATGTCTAAACTACTACGTACAAAGTTCATGAAACAAATTCCACAGTCATAATTTGTATTTAGAAAAAAAAAATCTCAACCGTCATTAGAAGTTACTTATCTCCCTTTAAGGAAGACACACTCCTTTCTTAACACATACACACACATACAGAGAGAGACAACACACACACACACACCTCCCCATTACCGCTTTTAGCCTCTTGCTTCACACATTAATGCAAAATTATTGTACAGAAACAACAAACCACCAAACAAAACTTGACGAGTGAAATTAAAACCAAATAGGGACGGGAGTGATGCTAATACAATCCGATGTTCTGGAGCTGAATTACATGCGGGGAACACAGCCCAACCTACGCTAAATTGTTTCCTATGGCAACAATTTGTTGGCTATAAGGGGGCAGTTGCTGGTTGGATGTAAAGGTTATACTTTCACAGGCTTTATACAAGGATGTTATTGTATGAATGTGTACAGAGGCGATATAACAAAGCTGTTATACTTTAAATGTGTATTTGTGCGCAGGCACTATAAAAATAGGTTTTTCTAGTATGAATGTGTAAATCTTTAGAGACACTATTACAATAGTTGGATATATTTTAATGTGTACTTGTCAGTGTTTCTTCCAGACTTTTGGGGGGGGGGGGACACTGGATATTTTGGAGGGGGGGGTATATGTTTTCTATATAAATTCCATTTCGTTCGGGGGGGGGGGGGAAGCGGTAGACTCTCTTCGAAGAGATGCATGGAAGAAACTCTGGTACTTGTGTACAAGCAATGAAACAACGCTAAACAAGCCTGAATGTGTACTGCTGCCGTATGGATAAATTATGACGAAAATACCGTTAAAGAAGTCACACCATTGTTGTTAACTTTTTCTTATTTAAACTTTAAACAGTGAGTTTTCATCACGTATGTGTGTGTGTGGGAGTGGGCGGGGTGACGTCTTTTGTGGACATTGTTTTTTTATTAGTTTAGATGTTCAACAATCAATTTTCAAAGCCAAAAAAAAAAAGTTGAGGTTTAAGTACTCACTACTGATTACATAAAGCATAAATGTTTTAACTCCACAGAGAACACCCGACAACATAAGCAATGGGAGTAGTAATATCAGTCCCTTGATCCTATTTTTCCTGATCTATATTTCTGTACTGCTCTGTTTGGTTCCTGCGAGTGTGGCGTCTCCGTTTCTTTCGAGGATTTAATCTACGGCGTCCTCAGTATAGTTTTTGTGTAGTAGCGTCGATACTGCAGGCGTTTGACCAGTTTGTGTACACTAAAATATGAGTACCGTGTAGTCTTCGAAATTTTTTAGATGGATGAGGTACACCTGCACCCCCCTCCCCCACCATGGGTTATGTAATAATTTAGCATGAAGGTGAGCAGAGGCGTAGCGAGGGGGGGGGGGGGGCGGGGGATGCGGATCGCACCGGGTGACACCATTTAGGGGGGGGGGGGGTGACACCAAGGCAAAAGATAGCTAAATATATAGAGAAAAACGTGAGGGGGGGGGGGGGTGCAAATCAAAAGTTTAAGGGGCGGGGTGCAAATCGAAAATTTGAAAATTTATCCCCGGGAAGGGTCGCTACGCCTCTGGGGGGTGACACCATTAAGTGCCGCACCGGGTGACACGCGACCTCGCTACGCTACTGAAGGTGAGACACTGGTGATATACTTAGCTTTACGTCATAGGAGTGGTACATCACATTTTTAAAAAAAAATTGTCCTTTAGTGTATGACTAACTCAAAACAAAGAAACAATTTACAATGACAACACAGATCCTAATACCGCAACTGAAAGATAGATATTCTCTCCTCAATCTCAACGTCATATTGACATCATTCAACTCTAAGGGGACTAGCCACGTCTACAATCCACTGACGGCATGTCACTGAAAATTTACTGTTAACCCACTTCTAATGCAGCGATTTCATTCAAACTTACCAGATACGTTCCACTTCGATGACAATACAAATCTATCTTTAAAAAAAACAACAACATTAATTTGATGCTTAATTGGTAATTAAAAAATAAACAAACGGCTTCGAAACTAAGGGGACATAACAACATTAAATCACTCAAAATGTAGGGGTCGGCGTGGTCGAGTCGGTAAAGCTCATGGTTGCTAAACCGAAAAGTCTCGAGTTCGAAGCCTCGGGCAGATGAGGCTCGTTAGCTGGGGACAGCCGCTCTTCAAGGAGAGACAACTCCAAAATGAAACAACTGCTGCCTTGTAGTTTGTTCTTGGTTGGACAAAGGCTATGGAAGCAAATCCAAAAAGAAAAGCAGTCTCAATGGCGCATAACCAGGTGACACGTATCTTTAATTGTGATGGAGGCGTGGTCGAGTCGGTAAAAGATCATGGTTGATAAATTCAAACCCTCTGACAGATAAGGCTCGATACCTTCCAACACTAAAAATTAATAACGAAGAAGAAGAAGAAAGTCAAAATGTTACTATATTTAATAACAGAAAAGGAGACAAATATCTAGACACTTTCACCCGACCAGTCTGGTGAGCTGTGGTTCACGCCGAATGTTTACAATCATAGAGCCGGGTCGAGTTAGTGAAAGCAGATAATATAGTTTAAATGATTTGAAACTAAGGGGAAACAATATTAAGAACTATCCTTCTTTTCATCAGCTTGCTGCTGTCTGTAAATTGTGGTCACGGACGGCTATATTCACGGGGCAGACAATCGTCTTTTAGATATCGCGTTTTAAAGCAAATAGTTTTAGTCTTGTCGAGTTCATAGATTAGGAATCATAAAAAGTGTAGAAAAAACCTTTATAAAGCAACAACTTTTTATAACAAAAAAAAAGCTAATTAACTTTCTTTAATTAAAGTTTTTTGCCGCAAAAATGTATCAACGATCTCATGATCCAAAGCTGTTGTTAAAGGAAACAAATTAATTTTATTTTCAGTGCATTTAAAACGTGTTGCTATAAAGGTTTTTTTTTTTATTTGATTTAATTATCCTGTTAAATTTAAACCAAAATTTGGGTTGTTTTTTTTTGTCGTCTATTTGAAAATGCTGAGGATACTGACAACGAAAATTTTAAAAAATGCTGCTACTTCATATGTTGATGAAGATAAAATACCATGGCTATAACTAGTAATTTTTAACTCTACTTATGTTATAAAATAACAACAATACGACGCTTTTTCAGAACAATCATTCCAAATCTTGGCACCACCAGCCGTACCTTCTCCCAAATAAACAAAATCTTAAATGTGTTCACCCAGCCATATTTCTTTGCTACACAGGGGATAAAATAAGCTCCCAGACAAAACATTGGACTATATATTTACATTACTCTCTTCCAATAGGTCATAGTTCAACCACAAAAAGTTGACTGAAGCAGTTTTTTTTTTGTTTTGTTTAAAAAAAAAAGGATTGCAACTAACGCGAAACAAACAAATAATCCAGAAAAATTGTTCTTGTAAAAAGTCAGATCTAAGATACTCCACGGAACTAACATCTTGTATTTGGTGTTTGAAAATGGCAAACACGCCTAGATGATAAACCACGGTGATAATAATAGCCCGGCAGTGGAAGACAATACCGTACCTCGCACATGTGAAGGTTACGCACAAAAAAGTCTATCTTCCCTCCACGTCCCACATTCCCCTTTGACATGGAGGAAGATGTTTTCGCTGGTCTTACTTCCGGTATCCCATGTTGCCCCGCGTTATCAATGGCAGCTAGGTAAGCGGGGATGCAATGCATGTGGACTACCTGTGGGTAATGACACACCGGCCGTGGCATACCTAGGGTTGCGTAATCTGTTAGGCGAACAATAGAAAATGTGTCTTTGGAGGGTGGTGGGGGGGGTAAGGTTTTGATGTTGCATAGTGGTTGGTGTGGTGGTTGAGTAAGGTATCGAACCCTATTTATAGTAAAGAAAGTAGATGTATTATGTTGATGTCTTTGTTGGTAGAAGCCAATGACTAATGTGTTTGTGTGTGTGTGGGGGGGGGGGGGGGTAAAGTTTTGATGTTGCATAGAGGGGGGTGTGGGGGTTGAGTAAGGTATCGAACCCTATTTATAGTAAAGAAAGTAGATGTATTATGTTGATGTCTTTGTTGGTAGAAGCCAATGACAAATGTGTTTGTGTGTGTGGGGGAGGGGGGTAAAGTTTTGATGTTGCATAGAGGGGGGTGTGGGGGTTGAGTAAGGTATTTATAGTAAAGAAAGTAGATGTATCATGTTGATGTCTTTGTTGGTAGAAGCCGACTGAAGTAACACAAATGATAATTGTGCGTGCGTGTGTGTGTGGGGGGGGGGGTGTAAAGTTTTGATGTTGCATAGAGGGGGTGTGGTGTGCGTGAGGTATCGAACCCTATTTATAGTAAAGATACTCTATGTATCACAACGATGTCTGTGTTGGTAGAAGCCAGCCCATGTAACACAAATGTTTATCGTAACGTGTGGGGGTGTGTGGCGCCGAAGTAAAAGTTATATTACTATTGATTAGATAATACTATTGACTTTTATTAGGGAGCTTGTAGAGAGTCAACAGTATTAGAAACTGTAAGAAAATCACGGCACCCCACGTTTTTGATCGCTTATAGTAGAGTGATCGCTTGCATTATTGTGATCTATAGCTTTTATTTTCTACTTTTTAGTTCAATCAGAAAACGTGGGTTTTTTAAAACTTTTTTGATGATTATTATTTTCTACTTTTTAGTCTTTGTCTGTTTGTTTGCATTAAAATCTTGCTATCGATTTTATCTTTTCACTTTTTTTTTGGGTAAACGAAGACAACTCGTAAAAAACACGTTGTGTGAATACGTTACTGGCTAGAACACATAGATTTGAACCCGTGTCGAGTGGGATAGCAATCGTGTACCCAACCACTCG